TCGAACCTGCAGATACACAGTGACTACTGGCAACCTCAGAGGCCTCAACCGGGAACCGCACCAGTGGACCAGAGCAGTGGACGCAGTGGCCTGCAGCAGCTGGTGAGATATGCCCGTTCAGACATCACCCAGGAGAGGGTGTCTGGCCGGTAGCCACCTGGAAGAGGGCCCAACTGAGCTCAGAACTCAGAACACCTATGGACCGACTAAATCTAGTGGCTCCCAGTGCGCGGGGGTACCGAGTTCAAACCAACAGGAGGTCAGGGAGCTGAGTTCAAGTCAGCAGGGAGCCAAGTTCAAGCTGGAAGGACACACAGACTGTTGCAGGTTCAAAAAATCCAGTTCCAGCCTGAACTTCAGTGGAACTAAAGGTGTAGGCAGACTGGGATTATCCACAGCCCCTCCGTAAGCTGCGTCTATCTTGCTGGGATTCATCAGTTCAGCTCCAGACTCTGTCGGTCCATGGTGTCTACCAGTGACTGCGGAGCCACACCTGGACTGGACTGTTTTTCTTTCTTTCTTTCTTCTTCTGTTTTTCCTCTTTTCTGGTTCTTGTTCTTGATTTTTCTTGTTTGAACATCATTTCTCTTTTTGTTGTTGTTCTAGTGTTCTTGCTTTTGTTTCTTCCTCTTTCCTTCCTGTATTCATGAGTTTCCCAAAGTTTGTACGATCTTAGCTCATCTGATCTTTGTTCGTCCCTCCAGTCTTGCTTGCTTCTAATCTTTTCCGTTTCTATCTTTCCCCCAGCCCTTCTGAAATCTGAGCCCTGAGGGAAAACAACATCATATAGGGCTTATTCATCGCATACAATTCTCTGGTTCATTTTAGATTTTGTTATATAACCACATTTTGTTATATATTTTGTTATATAATCCAGTTAATCCAGTTAATCCAGTTAAAGGTGGCAAATTAATAGACACCGCAATTTGTCATTTTCTAGGCTGTATTTGATGCTATCACTATTGCTCGGTGTATCACTTTAGCCAAGGTGACATAACTGTGCCAATCAGTTGTCCTTCCTGGTATACCAAGACTGAGGTTACCTAAGGGTCTCAAAAACAAAACAAAAGGCCAGTGCCAGACAACCAGTGGCTGGTCAAGAAGGCAAAAACTTCTGATCCCCAATAAACTGAACAGTAGCATCTTTTTTCATTATTTTTAGTTTTTTGGTACTGGGGATCAAACTGGGGACCTTGTGCTTGTGAGGCAGGCAATGGCACCACTGAGCTAAATCCCTCGCCCATAGTTTTATTTTACAATTTTTATTTCAATGTAGTGCAAGTAGATATTAATAAAGAAATGTTTTTTAAAGTCTCCTATGAAAAAATAAAGCAAAATTTCATAACAAATTCATTAAAAATAACATTAGTTAGTACACTGTGTACATAATCTTAAAAGAATGGCCAAAATGTTATAGTACAAATCATAGACAAAAAAACACTCTTGCAAAAAAGAAACAGATAATAGTACAAAACTTTCTTTTCAATGAACTAAGAGGAAATAGAGGTATAAATGAAACAGGTTAGCACATACAATGAATTTTTTTTTTTTGTGGTACCAGGGATTGAACTCAGGACCTTGTGCTTGTGAGGCAGGCACAGTGTCACTGAGGTAAATCCCAATCCTGTACTGAAATGTTTTTGGAACCACAGAATTTATAATTTGAGTAATTATTGGAACTTCTCCCTACTTCCTGTTTCTTTTTTTCTGTTTTGTTTTCTTTAATATTCAATAGAAACTATGTACAATAAATTTTTACTGTGTTTTACATAAGAAAGCCCCTGCAGGAATTTCCCTAGATTAGAAGGAAGAAAGACCATGGAGGGCCCAGGCCTGTGGGATATTTTCTCGGAGCATGAAAGTCAGAGTTCAGTTGGGGAAAAGGGTCGACTGCCAGATTAAGTAGATGTTTAAAAAAAGCTAAGATGCAGGCCTTTGGGTAGGTAACCAGACACTGGGACCACTAATATTTTGAAGGTGCCATTCTGAAATGCAGCCCCCAATTAGTCAAGTCTGTGGCTTCTTGCCCCGTGACTTAGGAAATGCCATTCCAAAGATGTCTCTCCCATGAGGCGAAGTCTCAAATGTTCATTCAATTCTGGACATGGGGATGACCTCTCCTCCTTGCCCAGAATAGGAAGAAACCCACAACTTTGGGGCACTGCTGACCCAATCTCCCCAATTTTAGTTCTTGTTTCCACTCTCGGTTTCTCACATCAGAGAAACAATGAGGCACTCACACATCTTTTAAAATAGCCAATCATTTATTGGTGCGGTTTAGGCATACACACCGCCGACACTCATCACGGGGATTTGCACTGGTAACGACACATCCCACCCCTTTTGCCCAGCCCCCCTCACCCCACTCCTCCCTAGGTACAAGTTTTGTCTCCATTTTTCCTTCTATTTTCACTTTGCTTCCCTTGTCCCTTCCTCCCTCCCCCTCCCTTGTTCCCACTTGAACATTTGCTTCCCATTTCCCAGTATCTGTTACACATTTCCGTCCTATTTCTTCTCACACCAGAGAAGTAATGGGGGTATTTAAAAATGTTTATCTAATTTATCTCACTTAAGAGTGTGGTCTTAAGGTCCACCCATTTAGCTCTAAATGTCTGAAGCTCTTCCTTCTTTATGGCAGAGTAGGACTCCATTGTATAAGAATACATCTTTATCCACTCGTCAGTTGACGGGCATTTGGGCTGTTTCTAAGATTTAGCTATTACAAGCTGTGCTGCTATAAACACGGTGTTCATATATCGCTGTGGTATGACACTTTTAATTCTTTTGGGAAGAAAAGAGAGGAATAGCTAGGTCAAATGGAACCTCTAGTTTTAGTTTTTTGAGAAATCTCCATACGGATTTCCCCAGTGGTTGCACCGGTCTATACTCCCACCAACAGTGGTTTTTCTTTACATCCCCTCCAGCATGTGTTATTGGTTGATTTCTTGATAGCAGCCATTCTTTCCTGAGTAAGTTATCTCTTATTTGTGGGTCTGCCCTACCAAAGCGGCAGAATCCTCAGGGCCCCTCACTGGCTTGGTCCCTTCCAGGATCTGTACCTGATTTTCTCTTTGCAGTGTTTTGGTTTATTTAAGGCAGGCCCCACAAAACCTGCCTGCAGCCTGGCTGCCTGACACGACCCGCAGGCCTTCTCTGGCCACAGTCCAGTGCCCTCGGGCCGGGAAGCCCACAGTCTGGCACAGCACCGGCCCCTCCTCCGGTCCTGTCCTCCTCACGGGGGGGCGGCGCCCGGGGGGTCTTCTCCATTCGCTCAGTGGCGCGGGGCCAGGTAGGGGGCTGGGACGAGAGCAAGCGGGCAGGCTCTATGCAGACCTCGATGGGCCGCAGGCCAAGCCCGAGGGACACAGGCGGCGTCCGCTCCGCAGTCGCTCCCTCGGCCCTGCTGCCC